CGCGATCTCTTTGTGGCCACAAGCTAAAGCCGCCTGGAGTGCGTTGCCGTACCCTCCACCCTGGGCGTTGACGTCGGCGCCCTTGTCTAGCAGCACTTCGATCACCCCGACATTCCCTTGCTCTGCTGCTATAAACAGTGGGGTCTTATCGTCTTTATCCTTACTGTTGACCAAGGCAGAGTCTGCAGCAAGTAACAACCTTGCCGACATCTCACAGTCATTCCTGGAACTCCACCATAGCACGGTCCTATCTCTCGAGTCTTTCGAATCAATCCCGAATCTCCCTGATCTGATCAACAGCGCAAGAACCCTATCGTGCCCAAGCTCTGCCGCACTGAGGAGGAAATCCTTCGACCTCGAATACACAAAATCACGTCTTGCAGCGCGCTGAGCTGACTTTGGCTGGGACTGCGGTTCACCCACTGCTCCAACAGCGCTGCTGTTAGCTTGTCGCATCTCAATGGATTCTAAACACACTTCAAGAGCCTTTTCGCTGCTTGTAGCAGCTGCGGCGAAAAGAGGACAGCCGTAGCGCTCAGCCTCAACGTCCATACAGCGGCTGACTGAACCGAGAACTCTGATGAGGTTCGCCATGTTGAGCTCGGCCAGCATATACAGGAGACTCACACTTTTTGTGTGCCTGCGCACTTCGTGCTTCTCAAACAGGTTGTCGAGCTTGACCCATCGAGGAAGCGGGAAGCTATCGAGAAAGCCCGCCTGGGAAATGCCTTCGCTTTCCGCTATGTCTGCGTGATACAGCACATTACGCACAGCATACTCTAGAAAGGGGTACGTTTGCGTCGCTGACTTGCGTAGGCCTGCTGCTGGTTGCGAGGAGGCTTTTGGAAGAATTTCAGGAATTCTTAAGGGCGTGGCAATGTCAATGCTGATGTAGTTGAAGCAGCATTGTTTTAATCGGTCATGGCTTTGACCCTGAAAGTTGGTTCCATACTCTGGCCAGATCTTTCCAAGGCCGTTCTCCTTGAGTAGGAAGTCTCTCACCGACTCGTGTATAAATTGGACTCTCTGCTCCTTGGACACAGTGGCTTCTGCAAGACCTTTAGACGAATTAAGGATGAATCGCTTAACCACGTCTTTGGTGATCTCCTCTGGATTCCATTCTGCCACTTCTTCAGGATGAACGCCTGATAGGATCGCATGATACAGCTGCTCTAGGCTGAGTGGCTGCTTTGCAAAAAGTATCCACTGGATACACAAGACTAGTTCGGCTTTTCCGTGTGTGTCTCGTGTCAAGATATCGCGGAACAGCTCGTGCAAGTCGCTAGGGATCTCTCGTAGTTTTCGCTGGAGCGTGTGGACATGCCCGCGGTCTGACTCTTTGTTCAACATGCCAACTACAAGAACAACCCATATAAAGATTCCTGACGCCTTCTCCTGTAGCTCGGCTCGAATTTGCTGTGCGACCTTGCTCTCACCAATATTTAGCTCAGTCTCGACGTAGTTGGTGATGTCTTGCGAGTGTCCCTCTTGTCCCTCTAACACTAGCTCCAAGCCGTTGCGGATTGTGATGTACGGGTAGTGCCGGCTCGAGAAACAGACCTGGAAGCGGATGCCGTTTGATACAGCTAGATCGCCCATGTGCTCAAAGAACTGGATCATGTCCCGAACCTGCCCTTCTTCACACATGTCAAGCGCATCGATGAAGCATACGACAGGCGAGTCTCCTAAGCTCCGTATGGCTTGCTCTAGCAGCGTCTTCAGCGCCTTGATGTGCCACCGGTGGTCCGCGCTAAAGTTCAATAAGGATATACCAAGCGAACCAAAGACGGTTTGAAGCGCCGGCCGCCGCTCAAGAAGCTGCAGCAGCAGCGACCGGTATGTCCCAGTTGTAGACTTCTCTATATCCTCGCCGCGCGCGTTGAAGAAGAAGGAGAGCATGATGTGGTCTTTCATAGTCTTGCGAGCATTGACCAGCGCATACTTCATCAACATTGACTTGCCTGTCCCAGCTTTGCCCTTGATCCATAGGAAGCCGTGATGCTCACTTACCTTGCTCGAATCAAGCCAGCTGAGGTACTGCTCACTCTTCAGGAGCCATCGGCACGTCCTGGCGTGGGC